AAGAGAGGCCACCTGTCATATTGCTGTACAGAACAATGCAAGTTCAGGAAACGTTTTAAGCGCTTTGAAACAAGCATTCTAATAACATGATGATAATTGTTTTTCAAGTAATGGCTATATACACTATAATTCTTCAATTTATCTGATTTAGAAGGGCAGAGCAGATGCTATTATTACTTTACAGAAATAATTGCCTGAAAAATGGAAGCTAAATAACTACTTAAGGGCTTATAGATACCCCTTATAATTTATGTTTCAGCAAACTGCAGGGTATATCACAAAGTGTAACACCCTAGTTCAAATATAACTTGATTTCTATTGCACTAAACTAATGGTCATCTTGTTTGACATTACTTGCACATTTCTACCATTCCCATCTTAGAAATATAAATTCTCAATTAACACTTTCACATTAATGCTGCTTATACTTACTGTGAAAATACATTGATTACATTGTGTGTAAAAGAGCTACAAGAATAATATTGGTAGTTTATAATCTTAATTATAATGCTTTTTGGATGCTTATAGACCTAATTGCCTATGGTAAGTGAAGCATTTTTTTTCTCTTGTACATGTAGTTAGCCAAATTTCTTGCCACTTCACAGTATTTGCAGACTTAACACGTACTGTATTTTTCAGAGTATAAAATGCACCGGAGTATAAGAGGCACCTTAGTTCTTGGGGAGGAAAATAAGAAAAAAGCTGATTGGCAGGTGGATCGGCCTTTTTTCTGCCTCTGAAAGCCTCCAAAACACAGCTTCAGAAAAAAAGCCTCTGAAGCTCTGTTTGGGGGCTTCTTTTCTGAAGCTTCTTTTCTGATGCTTTTTTCAGCCTCTGAAACCTCTGTTTGAGAAGCTGGGCGGGGCTACATTCGGAGTATAAGATGCACCCAGATTTTCATCCTCTTTTTTTGTGGAAAAGGGTGTGTCTTATACTTTGAAAAATACGGTACTTAATTTAAAAAACAGGTCTTTAGGTTTTTTCCCCAACAGATTTAATTGGGAAGCGTAAAGACAGAACTTACTCTCCTGTTAATAGTTCAGTTGTCGGTGCTAAAATACCAACTAAGTTGCTTATAAAATTGTGTATACTAATCTCCCAGAGGAAAAAAAACGTGATTGTGGAAAAATGTAACACAAAAAGTATTGTAAGCTTCTTTAATCAGAGGCATTGCTATGGCATCTAAACAAAGCAAGCCTAGGTAATCCCTGTGGTTCCCGGCACGAAGAAGTTGTACCTTAGAAAACCTAGTTCAGAATTAGCTCTTTGTGATACTGTATTTGGCAAGGGAGGAGCCAGAATTGCCATTTGTTGAAGATAAGATTTCCCAGGGCACTAATGCAAAATCCATTAGCACCAATTATAGCTGGTCAAACCATGTTGACACTGAACTGAAGGATTAACTATTTCTGCTGCTTTATTTCATATTTAGATGGCAGATTTGAAGGAATCTAATTTGGTGTTAGGCATTCCTTCATTTTCTTTCAACTATAACACATTCTGATTGCCTGCAAACTTTATGCTTTTCTTTGCATTCAGATGAGACTAATAATTAGTGAAACTTTTTAGAAAAAAAGAGAGGGATTCTTTCATCTCCCAACTGAATTTTTGTGTTAAATCTGAGCCAACAAGTTCTAGGCTGTATCTTGGCAACACTGAGACTTCTTGTATGGCATAAAAACTAGCTTTCGTGGTGGGTGGAACGGGGAAATATCCTGACAGTTATCTCACAGTAATGAGACGAGGGAACTCGAGCATTGTTAGTATTTAGGATGAGAACGTCTGTGAATTGTTATCGGCCTTAATTTCGGTGAACTTTTTTTTTTCTATATGTATACTTGCACTACAATTTCTGCTGTGCTTCTGGTGGGATGCAAATATCTTAATAATTAGATTACTCATTCTACAGAGAAATAGCCACCCTGCCTCTGATTATAACTCTTTAGTCTCATTAGTTGCGGCTCTTTTCCTCCTTAATACAGTACTTCTAATGTTTTGCTAGATCTGTTTATTACAATTTTAATCTACTGATTCTAGTCCTGTCCTCTGTAACAACAAAGGCGAATTAACATCTTAGAGCTAAAATGTCTGGAGTTATCCACATCTTTCTGAGTCTTCATTGGGCTTGTTTTCCAGACTGCTCATCAAGGTTCCTCTTTGTGACATGTTTCAATTTATCAGCATCTTTCTTTCAGTGTGGTAAATTTGACATATTTCTCTGACTGAAGTCTGATTAACAAATTATAGTTGAATAACTGTTTCCCATGAAATACAGTCTGTGATTGCACTAATCGACAAAAATTAATAACAGAGTCACCTCATGTTCTGTTTGGAATATCTTAAATCATTTTCATATCTACCGGTGGACCTCAGTTAACAAAAGTAATTGGGACTGGAATTTTCAGGGTTAAACAATATGGTTGTAAAGTGTGATATCACATAGAAGTCTAGCAACAGAAATTCTGGCATTCCCAATTGCCATTATTAAGCAAATACCAAGACATTGTTAAGCATGACATCACATGACTGCCATTTGCAACTTCTTGTTGTCTTTCTCATTGACTGCTTGTCAGAAGCCAGCAGTGAAGATCACAAATGGCAATCATATGACCACAGGATGCTGTGATGACTGGAACTTCATTCAACACCATCATAAGTTCAAACAGTTATAGATGAATGGTTGTTAAGTGAAGACCATCTGTGTTGTCAAGACCCCATGTAAATATGTATTCATTTAGTCCAATTGTTTATTAAATCAGTTTATATGGCCACCCTACTCATGAATTCAACTATAGTCTGGGTTCCATTTTTAATTTTTGATAGCTCAATTAAAGCTTATACTAGATACAGCTCATTGTTCCAACCTGCCAATATCATTTTGAGTCATGTTTGTTTTCTATATGGTGAGCTCACCCTCCTGGCTTAATGACAACTGCAGATTCAGTAGCCACACAATTTACTCCCTCATCAAAGTCACTTAGCTGCCTAGATAATGAAATTTCTGGCACTTTGGGATGGCCCTGTAGTCTGTTAGCAGAACAATACTGCGGATGGCAGCAAACCTGTATCGCCTGAAAGCAAATCTGACAACAGTGTCTTTTTAGTGCCCTAAAGACTAGAATTCTCTATATTCCTTTTTGAGAATTGCTTTGGAAATCTGGCCAGAATCTTCAGCCACAGCAAATGAAAAATTGAAATGCTTCTTAGATTCTTGGCCAACCTTAATTCTTTCTTTTTCAATTTTTATGCCACATTCCTCCATAAAAAAAAACAAAACACAGCTATTTGGAGGGAGATCCCCCCCCCTTAAATATCATTTGCAGAGAGCCATCTTGATGTAGTTGTTAAGGCAGGAACTATTAGTTCTAGTCCTGCCTTAGACGCAAAGACAGATGTGTGACCTTGGGTCAGTCATTTTCTCTCAGCCCTAGGAAGGAGGCAAGGCACTTCTGAAAAACCTTGCCAGGAAAACTGCAGAGACTCATCTAGGCCATCGCCAGGAGTCAAAAAAAAAACTGACTTGAAGGCGACTCAAAGAGAGCAAATGCTTTTATTTTAGCTGAATAAAGGTTTATTTTTAAAAGTAAACATACTTTGATGGTGCTGTAAACAGTTTGGCACTTTGTCTTTCCTGGGCTTTTGCAGTACCCCGCTAGGAAAAGATAGCTTTGGCGTAAGAAGTTGCAGAGAGCTTCTTGATTGACTCTCCATACTTCCTGAAATATCTTTCACCAAAAGTGCTCCATTTATTCTTGTATTGAAGCTGCCATCATATTGCACTAAGTATTAGAATTCTATAAAATGCTAAGATACTCCTGTCATTTGTGCAATTGGCTGGGTTCATAGGAAGCATTTTAAAATATGGGAGAAGTTACAATATTATGAAATAGCAGAAATTAGCTAAACATTTAAGGCAAAAGGAGGCTGTTGGATAAAGTGAATATTTTTGAAGTAAACTCTGCTCAAGGGGAATATAAGGCATGTCTATTTTGCTTTTGGTGAGAGCAACATGGAGTATATATAGATTCTTCCTTGGATGTTTTTTAAATTTCTATGACTGGTTTACAGTCTTGTGATTTTTGGTGGTATCTGATTCAAGTACTAACCAGCTCTGATCCTGCTTAGCTTTCAGTTCTCATTTATCTAGAGATACAATATGGCAAGTTTTAAAATAATTATAAATTTGTTCATATTCTTGTAATTGTCCCTTTTTAGTAATCTAGTAAACTGTTTAAACTGGCAGCAGTTCTTCAGGTTTTCAGACACAAATCTTAATCTAAAACCATCAAAAGATACAAGGAATAGCAGCTATTTTTCCATTGAGCTACAGGTAGTCCTTGATTTAAGACTGCAGTTGGGACCAGATTTTTGGTTGTAAGTCATGACTGTTTTAAGGGACCCAAAAGACTGGACCTAATTTTACTACCCCTTTTATGCCAGTAATTAAGAGACTCATATGGGTAAATGTGAATCCATTCTCCTGAATAGGGTTTTTTATTAGAGACATGCAAAAAAAGTTGCAGATAGCAATTACATGAGCACGGAATGCTGCAATCAGTCATGAGTGTGTGTTGGTTGCCAAATGCCCCAAATGTGGTCAGGTGATTGGGGGAGGGGGGAAACAACACATATGCAATATTTTACAACAGCTAAAAGTGTTTTATAAGCCATAAAGCATTCTTCCTGCCATGGTAACTCAGAACAGTCATTAAATGATCAGTCATAAGTCAAGGACTATCCATATAGCTTTTGCATAGCAGATGTTCTGAGTTCTTAATATAACTATTTAAATGCTAATACTAGCCAGTTTGATATAGTGGTTGAAGGCAATGAACTGTAATCCAGTAAATTCTAGATGACTCACTTTACTTACAATGGCTTAGATCTCAACCAGCCACCTAAAGGCACTCTGAATAAATGTCTCCAGGGTATGGATTCTGCTACATACTCTTACTTCTGTTTCTGTACTGTCTCTTTCATTCAAAACTTCTCTGCTTCAGGAGATGAATATGATGTTTGTGCCATTTGCCTGGATGAATATGAGGATGGAGATAAACTCAGAATTCTTCCTTGTTCTCATGGTAAGTAGCGACATTGGATTATTTACTGAACTCTTGTTTTGGTGAGGGATACAAGATTTTGCTTCTTATAGACAAGGAACCAAATGTTGTATATTTGTAAATGCAGTTGTTTTGATTAAATTAAGAAGGCTGGTTCCTACAGAATTGTTCTGATTACATCTCCAAGAATTGCCAGCTATCTTGGGCAAAGACATATAATGACATTTCTTAGTGTTATTTCAAGAAACAGTTTAGAATATAATAAAGTTGGGGTGTGGCATGTAGGAGAGAAGAAACAGTCCTATATTTGTAGGAATTTTGACAGCATTAGCAGTATCAATATCCTAGATTTGATTGTATATTCGGGTTGAAACAGGTGACATTTTAAATATTAATATTAAATGATTGCATCCAAAATTCATATTTATAAAATTATCTACTGGTTGACAGTTTGTACCTTCTCAAAGAGATTAATAGAATAGCTGGACTGAGTAAATTTTGTCTGAGACAGCATGTCCGCATTTGTTAGCTTTTAAAAGCTCAATTATGCTATTTTCAGTTTGCATTTTGAAATGATAATCCAAGGAGATCCAAGTCATGAGTGTTGTTTGAAAGTACAGATCAGTGGCTTGCTTACAGGTAAAAATGTGACATTGCTTGTAGCTAAATAATTTCTGTGGTGAATTCTGTTGTTTGTGCTCTTTAAATTCCACATTTATAGCTTTCCACAAACACAGATTTTTGTTGAACTTAATTTTTCATAATAGTTGAAATTCAACTATTAGTAGTAGAAATTAGTACAAGGAGCACAATGTGTGATTGCAGACTTGAAGGGCCAGTTTAACTTTTATTTTTTGTACTGCATCTTATGATTGTAGGCATTATAATAGACTAATAACTATCACCTGAATATGTAAGACTATTCAGGGGCCCAACATTATTTCAGTTCTTAAATTCAGCAATGACATTTCGTTGGCTACAGCTCTGCAGTCGGATAATGTCTAAGCAGCAAGAACTTAAAAACACACACAAATAGCATCTATAGTTTCTTCAGAAGTAAACTGGCTTCTATAGAAAAAAATGGTCTGAAGGTGGGTGGCACAGAGTGCCTTGTGTATTATCATAAAACATGTAAAATTATCCCCAAACTGCCTATAACTGCCCGTTTTCCCCAGTCTCCTTCAAACACCTCTCTCTCTCTCCTTCCCCTTCTTCTTTTTTTTCTGGCAGCCTACCATTGCAAATGTGTGGATCCTTGGCTAACTAAAACGAAGAAAACGTGTCCTGTCTGTAAACAGAAAGTGGTCCCTTCTCAGGGAGATTCTGATTCTGAAACAGACAGCAGTCAGGAGGAGAATGAAGTCTCTGAGAATACTCCTTTGCTCAGGCCGATTGCTTCAGTTAGCACTCAGTCTTTTGGGGCATTATCAGAGTCATACTCTCATCCAAATATGACAGAATCTTCAGACTACGAGGAGGAGGAGGAGGAGGAGGAGGAGGAGGAGGAGGAGGAAAGAAATGAAGATATTGACAGTAGCGATGCAGAGAATGGAGTGACGGAAGAAAGTGTAATAGTCCAGCTACAGCCCAATGATGAAAAAGATTACAGAGCAGCAGATGCTGTTTGAACTGAAAAATGGGCAGTGTTACATGAACTCCTCTCCCCAGAGACCTCTCACCTTATGTACCTGTACATAAGAGAAGTGCATTGCAGCCCTTCCATTGCTTCACTAGAAGCACCTGTTCATATAGCATTCTATAGTTTAATCTCATTGCAGGTTTCTTTTCTTTTTGTTTATTCGGTTTGTCTTGAAGACAAGCATTTTAACAGGACTTCACAATGTTAGTAATGGGGCTTCCACCACTAAATATAATGCACCCCCACAAAAGAGGTATATCAGCATCTTGTTAAATGAAGTTGAAACAAGACCGTACATGTGTTTTCCCTGCTACAAGGGTATAAGTAAACAGTGACTTATTTAGTTATTTGTTAAACGTATGGTAAGTACTACCCTAAACATCCATCCAACCAAAAAATGTATGGGTGTTATGTCTGTGAAGGCTTTCCCTACAAGAACCAGCACCTTTTAAAGAACAAGATATGCTTGTTCTGTATTTGTCTGCCAAGAGTATTTCCCAACAAACAGGAATTGGAGCTTTGAGCTCTGTGAAGGATTTTGACTGTCTTTTTCATTATCCTATTGCATTTGCAAGCACCTGGCAAAGAAATCGCAACATGACTTAGCTTAGTCCATCTTTAAGGAAATAAACAGGATAACCCCCATGTTCGTTGGCGTACTTCGCTAATACTCTGCTTTCTTCAGACAGGGATTGGGACCAGGTTGTAGAAAGACAACCTTAAAGCACACCACCTACTAGAACATTTAATTTTGTGTATGCTGTATTTGGAAACAATTTTGTGTGCAGTACTGATTCACAAAGGAGGTATATCTTGTAATAAGAACGTCTGATACATTAGCTTGATAAAAACTATGCAGAGAAATAAATCAAACTACGTATTGAATTTGAAAATGAGTGCTCATAGCTAACAGGATTTTACTTACACTGTATCATGAAAAGAACTTCATTATATAGAAGTGTAACTATGTAAAAAAAAAAATGTAGCCATGCTTCTGTATAGTCAAATTACAGGGATTTTTTTTTTATATAGCCTTGTACAGGAAAGTTTGAAAGGATGTTAATAAATACGTTTTCCACTTTAATAGCCATTTTGCCAGTATATGTGGATCTACATTAAAACAGGCTGTGTGAATTCCTTTATCCTTCCAAAAATGGTTTTACCCCTTTCCTGCATGGCTGGTGTTTAGGCAGCAGATTACTAGAAATTTCAATTAACCACTCTTGCTATAGTTTTTTTTATAAATAAATGCCATTCTCTTTGTGAAGAAGCTGCATCTGACTGAGACCTGTGAACTAGCATGATAGCCATAAGCTTTGAAAATGCTTGCTTATGCATGCAACATACTGGATTCCTAAATGCAGATTAGGTCATCCACACCTGAATTGACTTCTCTCTCACACACACATTTATTATATTTTTATCAAGTCTTTATTATTTTTATAACTAACATGGCAAATATATAAATAAAAAATAATAAAAAAATAATAAGTTTGGGAGCCTCTCTGAACAAGAAATAACTTCTCTTTCACATATTTATTGTATGTTTATCAAGCCTTTATTATTTTTATAACTAAGATGGCAAACGTATCTAGAACTTCTTCCTCCTATTTTCTCCGTAACAATGCTATGAGGTGAGTTGGGCTGAAGGAGTGGCTTGCCAGAGTCACCCAGCTGGCTTTCATGCCTAAATAAGGTTCAAGAAAGTGAACAAGAAGGGGAAAAAATCATAAACTGTTTATAAATTACTTCAACTTTCACATTAGTATTTGTACAATTAATAAAAAAGCCCTTACTGTGACTCATCAACACAAGTATATTCTATACTTCACACTTTTAAAGTATTGAAATTTGTTTTAAAGAAGGGCTTGATGTATCTTAAATATTGGATTGAAATGTTTGATTTCTAAAATGTGCAGCACCTATCACCTATGAGCAGAGACAACTAGAATTAGCAAGTATTAATTTATTCAGGCAACTGTTTTGCAAGCTCTTCAATTTATCCAATTAATGAACACAATTTTCCCTTGGTAAACATTTCAGTAGCTGTTTTATCAGTTTTATATTTTAAGAAGTCTGCTTTATCATTTGTCTAAAACAAAACAGTTCCTCTATTGAACTTGTGACTCTTAAACCTTATTTGCTTTTTTAAACTAATTGTCAAATATTCATCCTAAGATTTCTTTAAAGAACAATATTGCTTATTTGAAGAACATGGCAGGCATAGACTTTAAAATTATTACTTGGCAAGCTACTTGGAATTCTGAGGCGCATCCCAGCATTAAGTCTTAAACCCTATTATTAGCGAAAAAGTGAAATTGGCATTCAGGTTTTCATCCAACTGACATACCTTTATGTATTTGTATTTTCCACAGATATAGAGGTTTCAAAGATTAGATAGTTTACATCAAACTTTAGACAAGTTTTAGATTGCAAGTCCTAATGATTTATTGGTTTGCTATGAAAAATAAGGGAAGAACTTTGAGCAATGATACATGGCCATATGTTGCCTGGTAAACTACAGGATGCTTTCTATCACTGAAAAGAGCTCTATTTTTTTTATTTTTGAGGTGTTTATAAAAGGGGAGTGGAAAGCCTCTGGGTGATAATTGCCATTTCCTTTCTTAAATTAGCTTTAATATGATTTAGAGATTGGGGGATTGTTTAAAGGTGGAAGTGTAAAGACTTGCTTTAATTTTTGAACATACAAAGGCTTACACAATATCAGGCTATATGTGGTTCGTGGACATCTATGTATTACCATAATTGCTTAACACATTGTAAGCCGCCCTGAGTCTCCGAAGGGCGGCATATAAATCAAATAAAAAAATAATAATAATATCTGGGACCTCCTCCAATTGTAATATAACTTAATTTTAAAGCCACCAAGTTGTAAATGGTAATATATTTATTCATATATTTATGGTTCAATGTTATAAGGCACCCAGAGTCATTGTGTCAAGATGGGCGATAAGCAAATTTAATGTTATTTACCAGAAATCAGTAAAAATTAATAAATTTGAGATTGAATAAAAACATTGGAAGGATGATAATGCTAAAAATTGAGATCTTCCACTGAACCTGGATTTTTCAAAACAGACAAAAATCTAAATGTCAGTATAGCTATATTAATCAAGATTCAGCAATAGCTCTAAATTTGGCTATCTAGTAAGCTTTTTCTGTTGATCAAGCTGGTTTTAATGATTTTCAGTTGATGTACAGCAAAAGCAACACTGACATAATTGAATAGATTTCTTCCCTCTCCCAGATCTGTTGAAAAATGTGATTGATATTTATTAAAGGATCTTCAGAGGATTATTATTCACTAAATTCAACAGATTGCATGATAATTTAATTTATACCTATCTTAATAGAAAAAAAATAGTGTAAGTATAAGGTAGATAATCCACAAGGGCAACGAAGAAAAAAAAAACACCACATAACACACTAATTCATAATTTATTTGGTTGGAATAAATTTATTTCATCTGTCTGTAAACAAGGTGTTTAATAGTTATGGCATTTTTTGAAATGCATATTAAATCAGATGAGTTAGACTGTATCCCAGATGTAACAAAGTGCAGGGAAATAAATGAACAAATCAGCAACAAGAATTTGTTTAAGTCTGTACATTATCCACAAGGCTCAAACAATAGAAGCAAATACTAGAGTGTCCCTAAAGTAGTGCCATTCAGAAGCCATTCTTTTAGTTAAAATCCATCTCACAATAGCAAAAGATCATTTTTTTAAACATTAGTATGGCACAGAATACATATTAAAAATTTATCACAAGACAGCCAACTCAGTTATTCCAACCAAGACCATCTTTCATTTTCGGTATACAGAGTTCTGCAGTTCTCTTTTAAATGGACATACATGTTAGTACCGTGCTCAAACTGACAATTTGGTTACACGTTTCAGATGACTAATGCACAAGGCAATTTACTTCACAATTTCTGCAGCTAGGGCATGACAGGCCAAATGAAAATTAGATTTGAAATGGTATTATTTGAACTTTTACTTTAAAACTACCAACCTTCAAAACATACACTGGTATCAAAGTAGCAAGTCTTAATATCCTTTCAACGTTCCAACAGACTGATGTCAGTCAAGGTGCTACCTGTATAACCAAAGGTGGCAGTTTGCTGACAGTGACACTGCAGTATCATATAAAACCCAAGCTGCAAATCAAAATTGGTCCTATGAAAAAAAAAATGGAACTGGACACACTCCAGATGGTTACACTGGGATATCTAAAGTCCATGATGGCAGCCTTTTTACAGTTCAACTACAGAACAGGAGCTGGCAAAGAAAGTTACGTGCCTGAGCTATTGTGGTGATGGAATGTCCCTGGGGATTCATTCAAGATGGTGATGGTGGTTTGGTGATGGGAGAAGTGCATCGGCACCTTTTCATAGTTTTGCAGTTACCCTTTTAAAGCAGGATGTGCTTCAGACATCATGGAGAGTTTTGCAAGTCTACACAGAAGAGCAACAACAAAACTAGAGCAACAATTTTAACAGCTTTCAAGCAGCAAATTGGTTAAACAAACCAGGCACTGTATTTTAAAAAATGTATTTATAGATAGAAGATGGAAGCAAAGAAACAAAAAAGTGGATGAGGACAAGGGGAAGAAAGTAGAGATATGCATGCACTTTACCCCTCCCAACCATGCTCTACAAAGGAAGACTAATGAGCTGTGTAAATGCTCAAAGTGCTGAAGAGGCATTGATCAATCTTGATTGTACAATCGGCACCTTTATTTCACTTCATTTAAATTGGTTTAGTTCTCAGTGTCACATTAATCGCTAAGACAAAGCAAAGTCTGGACTTAGCATGATTTTCTTCCCAAGGTTTCAATGTATCATGCATATCATCTGTTTGCAATAGATGGTGCCAGATACAGAATGTGGATACAACAATGATTAACATACCAACGAAAAGAGTAACTGAAGCCATGACATCAGGGAAAAGATGTGTAAATAAATTGCCATCTTTAGGCTGGTAGTACGGTTAACACAAGAGGATTGTGATGAGAGTTGCTATGTGAATGGGGAGAGGTTGTTTAGATAACAAACCTCTGCAGGTGTAAAGCCAGTTCATTAGCTTTCTTATTGAGTGTCCCTCTTTGGACAGTTTCTCTTTCCCATAACCATAACCAATGCTGGAGTACACAAGGAAACAAGGATGAACAGAAATAAAGAAAGAATAACACCTTTCCCCACCAATAGAGGGATACAAAGGAGACACAGGTTCATTCCCCATCACCCTGCATTGCTAATAAAGTTTCCACAATGTAGATTACTGTCAGGAAAGTTTAATAGCAATTTTCCCTAATACTTAACAGTCTGCCTAGCAACTAGAACCCAGAGTCTCTCAAGTATTTTGCCATTGAGTATGCCTTCTTATTCAATCCGCCTCCATGGACCCCTTCTTTGCCCATTACGAAGACCAAGACTGAAAGAGAAAACAATTATAAAAAGAGTGTTAAAAATCATTCCAAGTGTTAATTAAGCATTGTAATAAGAATACTCAGATGTTTCACATTAGAACAATCACCTAGGATTATTCTTTGTTTGAATGTTTCTTTTTCTAAAGTTTTAATAAAAAATTGCAGGCAGATAAACTCTAATGTCTGAGAAATAGCATTTTTATGTGGGAATTATAGCTGAAATAACTACAGTAAATATACCAAAACACTTGGCTTAAATATGATCAGAATTATTTGCAGTATAACTCAGAATAGCATAGTTCAGAAATATTTAGAACATATTTGTAGGTTCTCCCGTATGCCAGCAGATGTCACTAAAATATATAATAATTCTGTTCTCAAGATGCTCTCACTACAAAAGAGTGTCCATGTATATATTATTCTGCTTTTTCTATACACTGTATACTTAAAGTCTCAGCTGATTAAGATGCTGGACTTGTATCTGAAACAACCATATTCAAATCCACATCCGAGCAGTGACTTGACAATTGGCAAGTTATTCTCAAATTACTCTACCCTAGAGGACTGGGGGAAAATAAGACCTTGAACTTCCAGAGAAATGACAGGATGTAAATGTAGCGAATACTAAATTTTTGGTATCTTTCAGTATACATTTCTTATTTATGCTATAAGTGCAACCCACAGTGTTTGGAGGGACCTTTTGAACTCTGAAGCCAAAAGTAATACAGGTAATCATTAACTTACCTTCCGCCGTGCCCTGAAGACTTTGTTATTCCAGCAAGCCGGGCTAGCCTAATTTTAATGGTTTTAAATTTTAAATTGGATTTTAATGGGATGTTTTTAATTATGGGCCAAAGTATTTAATCTGGTTTTAAATTGTTTTTAATTTTTTTTTTAAATTTGATTTATATGCCGCCCTTCTCCGGAGACTCAGGGCGGCTTACAATGTGTTAAGCAATAGCCTTCATACTTTTGTATATTTATACAAAGTCAGCTTATTGCCCCCACAAACTGGGTCCTCATTTCACCTACTTTAGAAAGGATGGAAGGCTGAGTCAACCTTGAGCCTTGGAGAGATTCAAACCAGCAGTAATTTTATATATTTATATATTTATATTTATGTATTTGATCTTGGCTGTTCACCGCCCTGTGTCCTTCGGGAGAATCGCGGTATATAAATATAATAAATAAATAAATAAATAAAATAAATAAACTTACAACCATTCATTTAACACCAACTTTTAAGTTATGATGGTGCTGGGAAAAAAAAGACAACCAGTCTTCGCACTTATGACTATCACATCCTCAGTAATGTGATCAATATTCAAGTGCTTGGCAATTGGCATGTATTTACAATGGCTGTGGTGTCCTGAGATCACACGATCACCATTTCTGACCTTCCCAGGTGGTGTCCAACAAACAAAGTCAATGGGGGAAGCCAGGTTGATTTAATAACCACTTCAATTAGCAAAGGAAATTCTGTTCTCAACTGTAATCATAAATTGGGAACTACTTGTACCCACTCCAAGTTCAGAAAATGATTTAATGGAATGCCTGTGAGCTTAATGTAAGTTTGTGAACTATTGAAATGAACAGTTGAATGATTAAGGATACCCCTGCTCTCTAACACTACATACATATGCCACAAATTAAAAATCCAGGTTGTTTTTTTGAAAGTAAATAATGTAGTCAACTCATTTACATTCTCAACATTAACCCTTAATGTTAACTGTGAATCTTGCACTACCAATATGGACAAAACAGTTTTATGAACAAATTTGATTGGATATAACTTGAAGTTATTTATTGACTGCATATTTTCTACTATTTAACAAAAAAGCAAATCAAACAATAATGGAAGAAAAAGCTTACCTCGTCCAGCTCTGCCTACAGCAACATTATATGTTGGTTCGCCACCTTGGCTCTTTGTCCTGATGTCCATTGTACAGTCACCATCCACATAGAGGCTATCTCGGATCACAGAACACTTCTTTGCACCAAGAGTCAGACCGTTGGTAAAAAAACCTTCGCGGTCTTTTCCTACAATCATATCTATTTCTATAGGCTGTCAAAGAGAGAAATCCAGAATTTTAGTTGAATCTTTAATGTTGCACACTGAAGAATCTATGGATCTAGAAATTGTTTAAGTTCAATAGCAAGTTCTCTAGCAATTTAACATAAAGGTGGAAATCTGAATTCAAGGGATTGTGCTTTAGCTATGAAGTGCAATCTCTAAGCAGAAAGCACATTTTAATTTGAGTGACATGCCACAGTTGCACTCTAAAAAGTAGGTGAACCCAGAACAAAGATTTAAATAAATAAAATGTAACATAAAATTCATTTTATTATATATTTTCAATAATTCTCTTTAGTAGTTTTAAAATTTACAAATTGATGCCAGCTTTTGTACAGGCTCTAAGATTGCACGGGATGCATGAAATACCTGTGGTTAAGTCATGCATCTTTGCTTGGAACTCTACTGTAAAAAAGTTATTTTGAACGTTAACAAAATTATATGCAGGTTAAGGAGCTATTTCTTAAATAAATATCAAAGAGAAGTATAAGAATGGACACCATAGACATTTTACTATATGAATAGGCACCACCTTTGGATTCAACATAGATCTGAGACAGAAGGTGAACCAATCCATTAAAAGCCTTATGCTGTCCACAAACCCTCTTAGATGTAATGTAACTACAGCTTTAAGGCATTAATAGTATACATTAAATACTGAAGGACAAAATGCAGACTATCCTTAATTATTTATATCTAGAGCTTTAGGGCTTCTTAAATCAGGTTTCTCAAATGTAAAGTACACAGGGTTCTACCTCCCATTACTGCAAATTTGTGCTTTTGCAAACAAAAATGGATAGGTTTTCAGAACTGCCAGGCATCGGATAGCTATATAGAAGAGGGAAATGAAGCAACAAACATGGCCTGTTTTAACAGCTGGAAATAGAATAAGCAAGCTGCTTACAAATCAGTCTTTTTTCTCTAAACCCAGGCCAGCATTTTGTTCAAACAATACAGACAATAACAAAAGAGGCAGCTCAGCTAGAAAATGTGTTCCCCACACGTTTTCCATTGGAAGGCGTCTCCTTCCAATGGAACTGCAGAGTCATAGCAGGCCCTAGTCATTCCCAAGTACAGGCCAGGAGTCTACCTATCATGATCACCATCTCAACATTAGAGAAAGACTAGCTCAGCAGCCACCAAGGGCACTGCTTTTTTAATCCATCTACACCTGCTGCAGATAAAGCAATATTTTACGCCTTATCTTAACATTGCTGATACCTAAAGCTAAATTCTCATTATTCTTGGAATAGATTTTTAACAAATGAGAAAAACATATTTCAATAGTTTGTCAATTTTTGCACATGCCTGCACAGGTAGGCAAGCAGTTAGCCAAAATGGCATTCCGGAGAAAAAAAGCCAGCCATGATCAGGATTGTAATGCAACATCAAATTGCACTTCGAATGCATTGGCACGACGAAGATTATGTGTATAAATATTTATATCATGCCAATAATTGCGGTGTTTCAGCCTGCAAACAGCGGCTGGTCAGCACACAATACGGAACCTTCTTAGAGGGATCATCCCTCTCCTTTATCAGCTCTACTGCTATGGACCAGGGCACTTTAGGATAAGTCCGAAAGCCAGGATGGGGGGGGGGAGAGAGAGAGAAGGAAGGGGTGAGAAGACGAAGACTGCAGTGCAGGAACCGAGGTGATTAATATCTCGGGAGAGAGGAGTGAGAAAAGGAGGGGTTAAAAAAAAAAATCAGCGGCAATGCGCCATCTTGGAGGCGAAAAACCTGGAGCAACTGGCGAGGAACGGATTCACAAAAGCCTCCTACGCTGCATTCGCAAATCCCTCCCCAGCAGCGCGAGGCAGACGAAGGGATTCCTACGCTAAACTCCCTCTGAATCATCCGCAAGCGCCCGCGCGCCCGCCCTTTCCAGGGTCCGGCCTTTTTCCCTCTTCCTCCTCCCGCTGTTGCCGGGCATGACTTAGTCCAATGCTGGTAGTAAAGACGCCCCCGCACCCTACCGTACAAAATGGTGCCCCCCTCCCACTCCCCCCCCACAAGAAGGATCGGGCTTTTCTACCTTCACCCTGGCCCCACGTGCACCTGAATGTGGGGCGAAACTCCCAACGGCAGCTTCCCCCCCCCAACCTCCCAATCTGGGGCCCTTTATTCTCCGCCCCCCCCTCGCCTCAAGTCACGACTATCCCCTCCAGGGCCAGTTCTCGAGGAGCCTTTCCCTTCCAAGCCCTTAAGCCCTCCCGGGGGCGGGGGAATAATAATAATAATAATAATAATAATAAATAAAAAAGAGGGGCTCGCTTTCGGTTCACGCGTTCATCCCGCTGGGTCTCCCGGGAGACGACTTTCCGCGGGAAGAGGCCAACGCCGCGGCCGCGGAGCAAAAAAAAAAACAAAAACCGCTTCTTCCACGAGGGAACTCCCCGCCCCCCCTTCCTCTCTCTCTCTCCCGCCCGCCCGCCTCTTTCCCTCGCCACTTTCCAAGGATTTCTCTAAAGGACGGCGCGGGGGAGGGGAGGCAGAGAAAGGGAAGCGCCGGACGGGGCAGCGGGCGGCCCTTCCCACCCGGGCCCGGCGGTGGGAAGAGAGGGCGAGCCCCCTCCGCAAGCGGTGCTGCTGCTGCTGTGCTGCTGCGGACGCGTGTGAAACGAAGAGACGGGAAGGTGCCCCGCCGGGCTTCGAGGGATCGGCAGCCCTCAGTAGCTCCGTTGCAGCCCTTTCTACCCCACCCGCGGATCCCAATGCGATACGGATCCAAAGCCCAGCATCTCTGAGGAAGCCCCCTCCCCCCCTCACACACCCCTGGTCCCCTTCCCAAATTTCGGGTCGCCTCCCTGCCTTTCCTCACCCCCCGCCCCTCCGGGATGGCTCCTTCCTTTCTTCTCGGGCGCCGCGGGTTTCCCCTTACCGTAATGCTGTGAAAGATGCCCCCGGCCGTCGCTGCCCAGACGTACTTGGCGTCACAGTAGCCGACAATGGCGGCCTCCTGGCAGCAGCCATCGCACATCAGGTTATCCACGTAGCTCTGCCAGCCTGCCATCTTCGGTGGGTGGGGGGGCGGGGGGCGGAAGCCGGGGCTCGGCGGCAGAGGCGGGCAGGCGGGCGAGAAGGGGGGACGGAGGCGGCAGCCGGAGCGAGCAGCCCCGCAGCGGACAGCTTCTCTGCGCGGCGGCGGGGAGGCGGCGAGGCAGGGAGCGGGGGAGGGGACCGAGGGGGTGGGTCCACCTGAGGCTGGCGACTGCCGCGATGGCCGCCCGCCCGCTCGCTTTTTAATGGCCGTTCCCCACAGACAGCCGGAGCCGAGGCCACCAGGCAGCGCCCAACCGGCCCCGCAGCAAAGAACGGCGTCAGGAGGAAGCGCAGGAGGGGGAGACGGCCGGGGAAAAGGGGGGGGGGGAAAGAGTGCGGGCTGCCGCTCGCTTTTTGCTCTACCGCGGTTCCTCCGCTCGCGAGGATCCCTCCGCCGCCGGCTCCTGCCGCCGCTTCCCAACGTTGGGTTTGGGGCGGAGGGATACGCTGTTCTGCGCATGGGGGAGAGAGGAGAAGGAGCTGCTGCGTTGATATTATTAGTGGGGAGGGGATTGCCGGACCCCGGCTGGCTGTGTCTGCACCGTAGCTGCTTCTGCGGGCGAGGATTCGTGGCAGCTGCAGAGCAACTGAATGAGGGTAACGCGGACCGGAGGAAAAGGTGGGGTGGTCGCTTCCTGGGTGGGTGGGTGTGAAACTCTACCTGGATCAGCTTTGATCTCAGGCTTTGCTGTGCAGTGCTCCTCCTCCCTTTCAGCGCTGCTTTTTAAAGTTGGTTGTGGTCATGTCGGAGCTTTGCTGCCCTTGGACACCTGCACGGCCAAACTTCCATTCTTGGGGGGGGGTGTGTTTCCGTGTGGCATTGAAGGTTTTGGGGTTTTTTTGCATCCTTGCAGCTATTTCCAGCAAACAACGCTCTGACTAAGCGTTGGGGGTGAGGGGGGGAAGCGCTGATCTTAAATCCGAGTAAGAACAGTGAGTAACTATTGAGGGTGCAATATTGCGGATGTCTGCATAGGAATTCTTTGTATGCAGCGGCGCTTTCCGTGAACCCGTTAGTTAGGGTGATGCAAAAACTATTACTAAAGAAAAGCTATTTTGATTTCTAAATTATTGGTTATTCGTGTTAACCCTGTAAAAAGCATATGGACTTGAAATTAATTGCTCTCTGAAACAAGCTGTTCAACTTCAGGTGAGGTGCTTGCTTTCAAAAAAAGGTATGAAAGGATATGTTTGCAAGCTGAGGGTATCCCAATGTGGATTTCTTTTTGAAAAGCTTATAAGGAGATTGCCCCCCCCCCAATAAATGGTTTATAAATATTGTCTGTTAAAAGAGCCAGAATCCATTGATTGTCTGAATAGCTAGGAAATAACCAAAGAGCATGCATTCTGAGATTTGTTTACTTTCTTAACTTTCCTCCATAAATAAATGGGGAACCTCTAATGAGAGAGAAAGCCTAGATTGTTTATGTACTCTGTTACTGGTTAATTTTTCAGCCCGAATTAGAACCAAACCTAGATCCTTATAAAATGGTAAAATATAGATGGATTTGTTCTATGTATCCCAGGATTGTCAGAAGGCAGAGGACCCTCCCATGTTCTGCCACCAGTGGTGGGTTTCAAAATTTTTTACTACCGGTTCTGTGGGTGTGGCGGGGTGGGCATGGCATGGCTTGGTGGGTGTGAAGGGAAGCATACTGTAAAATCTCCCTTCCCAATCCAAGCGAGGGTTACTGCAAAATCCCCATTTCCTACCCATCAGCTGGGACTTGGGAGGCAGAGAATAGATGGGGGCGGAGCCAGTCAGAATTTTTACTACCGGTTCTCCAAACTACTCAAAATTTCCGCTGCCAGTTCTCCAGAACTGGTCAGAATCTGCTGAAACCCACCTCTGCCTGCCACCCCATTCCTTTTGTGAGTCCCAGAGTAAGTAGGGGCAACATTGTGGTAACCTTTTTACATTTGGAAGGTACAGCAGGTAAAATTTGTGTCTAAAGTCTTGGAGAGACTTAGGGTTCCCATTTCATATCTTAAAACACTTAAAATCCCAACCAGAAATGAGTTCTGATTCTTTCCACTTAAGGAGTATGACACACATCCACACCCCAATTCACAAAAATGTTTGTGTGTGTGTGTGTATGAAATTTGTAGGATAACGTGTTGATTTATCCCATATTATTGTGAGTTTCCATTTCAATTTCTCATTAAAGTAGGAACAAATCATTTGTAGATTTGTTTCTTTGTTATACCAACTTTCCTTAGAGTAATTGCATTATCAATGATTGTGAAAGAGTGTTAGTCAGATATGAAACTTAAAAATACTTTGTACTTAAGCAAATTGTGGTTTTAAAGCTGTTATACTTGGCTGGAAGTACATCCTATTTTGCAATTAATTGAGATTACATCTAGGCCTCAGTCTTTATTAGATTGATAACTTTGTGAGAACCACAAACCACTTAAACCAAAAGACAGGCATGTAAGGTTTCCACTTGATGCAACTTATCCTATGACCAGAAAAGCAAAGGATTCAAAACAAGATTAAAACAAAATGGTCTAAAGAACTAACAGGGAATTCACAGTGTCTTTGTCCCCAGGTCTTTGAGAACAATCAAGTCTTCAATAATTTCCTAAATAACTTAAGAGTGGGAATCACATGAATTCTCCAAAGGATAGAAATTGTAGCTGAATAGGCACACTTCCTTAGTTCTACAAGATGTCATAATTGGACATACCCACCCTGCGAATGGACATGGATGCAGAGAAGTCCTATATATGCCAGCTCAGAAATAAATTCCTTTATTCCAAGCAACTTACTTTCAAATTAAGATGCTACAGGATTTCAGCTTTCATTGTCTCTTCAGTGCAGCACCAGAAAATATTTTTGAATATTTCTCCTTCAAATGTTTTTTCAAGGAGGAAAAGAAAATACACAATTTGTTGTCTATGCTGTGTTTTGTGCAATATGTTTATCACACAGTAGATTTTTATGTGACAGTATTGGAAATTAAACATATATAAAGAGCACATAAAAGTATAGATGAGATAGAGATCCTGTGTTCCAAAATGATCAGTGTATTTCCAATGTTAATTTTTCTAACAGTTCTTTGTAAACTGGGAACTAGTATGTAAGTAAACCTACACTGACTCTTTCCTTCAAATATGCCATCAATTTCAGCTACTATAATTAGCTTATGTTAGTTAGGCCAAGATTTCTTACTCATAACGTTAAATCATCATATTCCCCTAAATCAGTAACAATAATATCACTTAACAAGAGTGGATTTGAAATCTCTGGGTGGTTCATATTTATAGCACTTTCTTTGAGTAGCGCTCTTTGATACATTTAGGATTCACAGAAATGGTACAACTGTAACCAATCATTATCAGTAAAATATAATTTTAAAACAAGTTTAATAATATAACAGCAGTGTAGAAGTACTACATATATTGACTCAGTGACCTGAAAGAATCTAGTACAGTGATGGTAAACTTTTTCAGCACCGAGTACCGAAAAGGTTGCGCGGAAATGTCACACACGTGTGCTTGTTGGGACCATGCTCTAGAAAAGCCGAACTTCTGGATTCCAGTGCGCATGCGTGCCTGACGATCAGCTGGCAAGCATCAGCAGGCCGATTTTCAGCACTACCGCGTGCATGAAGGATCACTCCAGAAAAGCCAAACTTCCAGGTTCTGGCGCACATACGCACCTGACAATTAGCTGGCCGGTCTGCATGCGCATGCCAGTTTTCTGCACTCCCGCATATGCAAAGGACAGCTGATCATCATGCACACACATGCGCACTAGAAACCCGGAAGACAAACAGGCAAGGCTGTGCATGCCGGGCGACACCGCTTTGCGTGCCACTTTGGGCACATGTGCCATAGGTTCGCCATCACGGATCTAGTAGATTAAATGTCAGTAGAAATGATAGAAATAAAAGAAGAAAACTAGATAGCTCTAGCATTGGACGGTGGTTAAAAAAAAAAGATATTTTCCCCACTTGTAATTACACTGTCCCACAGAACCCCTATTGCCCTCTCACAGAATGCCAGTTGAGAAGAACTATTATAGCGGGTGCATTACATTAATTAAAAACGAAAACATAATATGGAGATAACCTTCAAGAAAGTCTGCAACAATAATTACAGCTCAGACCAGAAAGACAGGACAGGATGAGAAGGAATTTTTGTCTCTTTCCTGACCAAGCCCAGAAGAAGTGAGAGCTTAAAACTGGTTTGAGTCAAACCTGGTGACCTTGGGCACAGCCTCATATTTTTCTTGCCAAGCCTGTGTGAATGATTGTGCCTTTTGACACCTTCTGGGATACTTTTTCATCTTTCTAATCTAGCCTAACTTTTCTTGATGGCTTCCATCCATACATTAACTAGTAGGTGTGTCTGCAGGGGGGCAAGCAACAACAGTAGTGTTGTACTGGTGTGCCACAAGCTTTGTCCATTTGAGCATACAAAAGAGCCAGGGCTTGCAGTTGATGCTACTGTCATCATTTTGACAAGTACAGCAAATCCTGTAGACATCTTTGCCATCTAGTTCCAGATCTGTTTGGCACTTTGAGATTCTCCAAGGTCACTTAGGTGTTGTTTCGTACCTTTGGAAACAAAACCAAATAATCTTAAGAAGGAAATCACAGTTTGTTATGAATCATTAACTTGCCACTGAGGCCATTTGTTAAATGGATGGCCAAGGTAAAACTTGAACAATGGACTTTGCATCATTTGTTCTGGGATGCAAGCTGCATATGGCATATAAATACATGATACACCGGCATTTTAAAAAAATGAGAAGCATATTGAAAGATGAGAGGTGTTGGAACAGAAAATATAATGGGTGCTACCGAGGGAGAAAGGGTCTTGTTAATATACATGTACTTATATCAAATTTTGGATTCTGTTTGGACTGGAAGTTTTATTATTGTGACTGAATTAACAAGAGTTCCCAAACATGCTTTTTCTTTTTAAGTGCTAAGGCTGTTTTACATACATTTACATGCTAATTTTTTCTTTTTTAATTACTCTGTGTTTTTTTATAAGCACTAGTTCCCAATACTGTTCATGAAAGCAAGACTTTAGAACAGTGGGTCTCAACCTTCCTAATGCCGCGACCCTTTAATACAGTTCCTCATGTTGTGGTGACCCCCAACCATAAAATTATTCCTAAAACCATTGAAAATATGTGTTTTCCGATGGTCTTAGGGGACCCCTGTGAAAGGGTCGTTCGACCCCCAAAGGGGTCCCGACCCACAGGTTGAGAACCACTGTTTTAGAAGACTACTGTTTGAGAGATTATCAGAGGTAAGATACAAGAAGTAGGGTTACTAGATTTGGGCTGCCCTTAGATATCAGCACAGAGAAAACTTGTTGCTTCTATCTTGGGGTTCTCTGGATTCTTGCAGCCCAGATCAGATAGCTAGTTCTAGGTTAATCTGTATAAATTTAGTGAGATTATTATATGTACAAAAGTAGAAAGATTCGGCATTATACACAATGGAGGAATGGTTGATGAAGATAATGGAATTTGTGGAGATAGCTAAATTACCTTCCTTGATTACAGAGGAAACAATATGTTTATTGCTGACTAGAAACCCCCTATAGACATTTTACTCAAATGGGGAAAAAATGAACATATGATTTATAGTTTTGATGATTAGAAAAAAGAGGTAATGAGAGTTTTTTTTCTTTTTGTAACTAAAGAATAAGAGATTATTCTGCAATTGTACTTAAAATTGGAAGTTTTATTTCTTTCCATTCTTTCTTTTTGCATTTTTTGTCTTCCTTCTTTCCTCTTTTCCTTTCTTTTCTACTTTTATAAATTTTTATCTTCAAAATTTTAAAACTCTTGATTCATATATTTTACCTCCCTATTTAGAGTTTCCACAGATGTAACCTGGGTCTTTCTGCATTTAAACATGGGACTTCTTTCGAACTATAAGCCTTTCTGATGATCAGCCATATTGTGCCTGTGCTGTGGCAAAGTAGAGAGTTTGGTCCTCTGCACAGTGTCTCCCCCCCCCCCCCCCAGATAGTCTTAAACATCACAATTGGTGATGGGGATGTGACAAACTGTTTTCTACTCTATCAACATCATTGGATAAAATGCTGATAGACCTACTCCTTTGCCCCTCCCCCCACAAAAGAAAGGACACAGCTGCCAATTACAGTGAGATTTGTATAATTATACTGTTCTTTGTGTTGCATGCTAGAGAAGTATGTGTTCTGGGAGGCCTCATCCTCCCTCACCAATCTGCCATATGGAGGCAACAGTCACATAGTTTAGAAGATTGTTTTAAGAATTGCTAAGGTAATAGACATGGATTGCTTGAAAACTATAAATGTCTTATATAAATGGTAGGTATTTTGACATGTCATGTTAATAGCTTTTGTTTAATTAACAGACACAAAATAAATGTGATAGATTACCGACTACCTGCACACACTGCACATTTCAATGAATGTTCCTCATATATCTTCATCTTGTCCTCTAGCAAAATTCTATGCAAGTTGCTTATGATCTCCCTAAAAAGGTAGCCACATCTGAAATTCTGAGAACCTGTCCATTAGGAAGATGGTTTTCCTGGCCAGGTGAGCACAGCTGCCAACAAAGTACTAGCATAGCTGCCCTGCAAGACCCAGAAATTTGATTGGAAACAAGATTGGTTTTCTAGCATGTTGCTTTGCAACAGGCTAATTTCATTGTGGTTCTGTAAAAGAATCAACTAGAGCAGGAAATCTGGAAGCCTCTAATAGTATATTTGGCACTGTATGAACACTATGTTGGGATGTAGCTCCAGAATATGAATAACATGTACAACATAGAGAAAGGGGACAGGAGAGTTAACACATGACGTGCACGTGAACTTTGTGCTTCCTTGTACTGCCTGTCAGGAAGTGTGAACACATTGCCTGAAGAGGATGCGGCTTCTGGTCTCAGGACCCAAAGGTGTTTTTTCAAGAAGGCTGAAGAAGTTTCTTGGATGAGAAGCAAAACATCTTCAAGAAAAACCAGAAAGTCCAGATGACTCTTGAAAAAGCACCTTTGGGACAACCATGACCTGGATGACTGAGAATCTCCATACGCTGAGAATCTCCTGAGACACTTCTGATCTCAGACCTCAGGTTTCAGACCTGGTCTCAGGTTTCATCCTTGGCATCTCCAAGTAGAATTCAGAAAGGCTGTGGTCACATACTTCACGAGTCGCTATCGGTAGGAAGTACTGAGTGATAAAATCCAATATTTTACCTGAGTACATGCTGCACTTAGGCCATGGTTTGTTTAAGCTGTGATTTGTTGAATAATTTACAATGGTTGGGTACATCCAATATTTTAAGCCAGCATTCAGCAAACTGTATTATGGCTTATTGCAGTGTACAAATACAGACAGCAAAATTTGATATCTGTAAGATGCTTGCAAACAGCTTGTCTCGGGAGCAGTCAGCAATTTTAAGGTTAAGCAATACTGTACAGTAAAATACAAATATGTAAAGCGCATCAATTCAAAGCCAAGTCAATAAAAGCATTATGCAAAGCTTGAAAAATCAAAACTTGAAACTATTCAAGATGTTACAGTTGAAACCGGAAAGGGATGAAGGGCTAGAAAAAGAGAAAACCATTTAGGGTATCGGTTGGAATCTCGTATAAAGAAACTCTTCCATATTCAGAAGAAATTATCTCAAATTCTAAGGCTTTTTTCCTAATTTCATATCATCCAGATATGTTGTGACAATTTCCAAAATTCCTCTCTAGAATGTTGAAAGGCGTTCTAGATCAAATCTTTTGGAAGGCACCAATTTAGAAAAAGTAGCTTTAGATAGCACAGTGCATTTAGCCCTGTGGAAGTTATGGGCATCTCAGTGGTTGAGATAAGGTCTCTCTTTTTTACTAATTTACAAATAAAATGATTGTAAGTCTAGGGCTACCTGTATTAAAAATTAAGCAAAAATACAGTAAGTGATGTGTATAGAACAGTGATGGCGAACCTATGGCACGCGTGCCCAAAGAGGCATGCGAAGCCATGTCGCCTAGCATGCGCGGCCTTGCCTGTTTGTCTTCTGGGTTTCTGGTGCACATGTGCGCACAACAATCAGCTGTTCTTTGCGCGCATGGCAGTGCCGAAAACTGGAGTGCCCCTGCACACCGGCCAGCTGATTGTCGGGTGTACATGTGCGCCAGAAACCGGAAGTTTGGTTTTTCTGAAGTACGGCCCAAATAAGCGCGCGTGAAGGTTTGCCATCACTGGTATAGAAAGTGCTCCAGACTCTATTTCTTATACATGGACATACTTATGGTATTTCATCAGTGCTTTTGAAAGGTTATGCCTTAGGAGTAAATTGACCTAACCTTGCTCTGAGGCCATAGCTCAGCTATGTTTGCCATCGATAAAGGCCCCGGGTGTGGTCATTTTGCATTTCACTAAAAGAAAAAGAAAATATTCTAGAGCTGTAATTGTAGTAGTAGACAATCCATGCTGCATATTTTTAAAATCCAAAAATGTTGTATTTTAATAAAATACATGATTTTTCAGTTGGCACTTCCATTTAAATTAAGGAAAACAAAAGGCAGCCTAGAAGTGTGAACCTAAAACTCTTTTTCTACAGGAGATGTAGAGCGATATAGACAGGAGGGCTTTCAAAGCTGGTTTTGAAAGATAAAACCAAATTTAGGGTGTGAGGCAGGAGATAAAGTTCAAAATATATAATATACTACAATGGATTTTGTGTGTAAAATATTAAGTTAAAGACTTCATATTTGTTGTGTTAACTTGAGTTATCCTATGTATGTGTGCTAATTGGAGATATTGTTATGTGACCTAAGACATTTTTAGAGGATGTTAGAAAAAGCAATAGATCCCAACATTGGAGGAGAAGGATGGTAATTCACAGGAATTCAGGAAATTCGTCATTCAAAGAATTGTTTTAGGTTACTGATTTTCTACTAGGTTCGAACACTAGGTTTGAATCCCTAGTGCTGCGTAATGGGGTGAGCTCCCGTTACTTGTCCCAGCTTCTGTCAACCTAGCAGTTCGAAAGCACGTAAAAAATGCAAGTAGGAAAATAGGGACCACCTTTGGTGGGAAGGTAACAGTGTTCCGTGCACCTTTGGCGTTTAGTTATGCCGGCCACATGACCAGAGACGTCTTCGGATACCGCTGGCTCTTCGGCTTTGAAACGGAGATGAGCACTGCCCCCTAGAGTCGGGAACAACTAGCACATATGTGCGTGAAGAACCTTTACCTTTGCCTTACTGATTTTCTTTAATAATGTGATGTCTTTATATCCAGGACAGGATATTTAGATATTTTAAATTGGCCAGTAAAGTTAAAAATGTCTGTTCAATTCCTTTTTCATATTCATTCCCCCCCCCCACACACACACACATACACACCAGTGGTGGGTTGCCCCCGGTTTGGATCAGTTCACAAGAACCGGTAGTAAAACCGGTGAGAGGCCCTGCCCACTGCCCCGGATGTAGTCCTTGGCAATCTGCGCAGAAACAAGGCGCACGCGATCCCGTTGAGAACCGGTAGTTAAGGTAAGCAGAACTCACCCCTGATACACACATTCTTTTCATTTAATTTTTGCCTATGTCAGAATGTTTAAATCTCAGTGTTTCCCTGCAGTCTGGGTCTGTTTCACAACTACATTATTCTAGCATTACAATGCCTCTAGTCAATCTTCCCTCTGTGGCTCTTTCTCCTGAGAGATAAGGGAAGCACAAGGCAAGGTAACCAGCATAGATGCCCACAGTGGTTTTTTCCACCACCTGATTTATAGCCTTATTCTAGGCATTTTCTAAATTGGATGTTAAAATTTATAATCATCATATCCTGGTTACTGTGTGGTTATTTGGACATTCAATAATATATTCAAATCTATGAATAATACATGCTATGTTTGATCAGCCACATACATAAATTGGAATTTGCTGGCTTGTGCAGAATCCCAAGGTTTGTAGACATACTGATTAATCTTTGGTAAAACAATGATGACTAAAACAAATTGCAGGGATATAAAAATGACCACACCCATGACATCATTATGTAAATACAGGTAATCCTTGACTTGCAGCCATTATTGGGACCAGAATTCTGTTGTTAAGCAAGGCAGTTATTAAGTGACACCCGATTTTACAATTTTTTTGCCACGGTTGTTAAGTGAATCCCTTCACTGCTAAGCAAATCTGGCTTTCTCCATTTTGTTAGGGAAGTGTGCAAATGGTGATCACATGACTCTGGAAAGCTGTGACTGTCATAAAACTTGACAGTTGCCAAGTGCCCAAATTTTGATCATGTGACTGGGGATGCTGCGACAATCATAAATGTGAGAACCAGTCATAAGTCATGTTTTTCAGGGCCATTGTAACTGTGGTCACTAAAAGAATGGTAAGTTGAGAAGTATTTTTACCCCAGTTACCCACACACACACTGCGAAATCTTATGCAAGTTTGCAAGTTGTAGCATTTGGATAATTATGTCATTGTGAAATTTGTACTGCATGCATCCATTGTCAGAGGATCCCACAGGGCTGTTAAAGGAGACAATGACAAAAGCAGTGTTGCACTGATGTAGTACACCCGACTCCTTTGAATATACATCAGGATACAGGTAGTATTCAACTAATGACCATAATGAATACTGCCCATTATGATCTCATGTTGTGATGGTCATTAAGCAAGGTGCTTATATGATCGCCTAACTTAACAATACCCATCCGTGCTCTCCCCATTGTGGTCATTAAGTGACCATGTTAGTCATTAAGTGGAGCATTAGATACCTTGGGGGGGAGATTGGGAGGCTCACCTTTAAGATATGTTATTCCATTTGACCTCTACCTGGTCAGTCGTCATTCCCTTCCCTTTAGTTGTTATTTCAGTATTTTGATTTGCTGCCTTCTATGTTGCTTTTCCTAGATGCTTTTATTCCAAATGCATAATGGAAAATTGGAGGGCATTTTTCTTTTCCAAAAAAGAAATTCTAGATTGAAATATATTCTTCCTCTGTATATAAGACTGGACCCATGCCATCCTCATTGTGGGTGAGCAGTCCTCTCTGTAGAATGTTGCCTTTAGACAATTCTGAAGATGCCCTCAACAGCATTCAGAGGCTAGAGAAGGTAGTTTCTTTGTTTCCCATAAACACTTTCTTTAACTCAGAAATACACCCTTCAATGGCAGTTTTTACTGTGACAAAAAAAGTTGTTTACTACTGGAGAATAATCATATTAACTGTACTTATTTAAACTAAGCAACATAACTATTTAAAATTAATCAAACTTAATTTTTTTCCTGACTCCACCCACTACTTTGCTGGAATGTGATCCATGGCATGCTACTTTAAAACCAGTTTGATCTCAGAGCAAAAAAAAAAGGTTTGCAATCCACTGTAATTTTCCTTGCTCTTTCCTTTCCCGATTATTAAGAGCAATTAACTGTTGAGATTATTCAAAAGCAAATACTGTTAATACCTTTGTAATTGTGCTTTTTCTCCCTTCTAGTGTTTTATGCCTATTGGTTGAGAAGATTGGTGCTTTCTAACAATTGATGAGCTTGCATACAAAGTTACTGTGCAGTGTGTAGTTACTGTACACCAAGCTGCTAGACTAGAATTCTTCTCCCAAAAATAGGAACTTGTTTGCACATAATGCTGAACAATGATTAATGCTTACAAAACAAACGTCTGCAAATCTTTGTATTGTACTTTTTCATTTTTTCCTTTAAGTTGCAAAATACGCAACAACAGCCTCAGAAGTATTCAAATTTATTTTTTATTGTTCTTTTATGGGTCATTTAAATGTAACACATCCAGAGTTATTTGTGAAACAAACCTTGTCTTTGAAAAAAAAAAACAATTTTAGTATTCAAGAGCTACAATAAGCTGTGCTTAATCATATGTCCATATGTCATTTTAACTATAAATTGTAGACTAATGTTATATGGAAACTTCAGTTTTCTACTTTCAGATATTTTTTCCCCCATGTTAAAGCATTTGATCGTAAGAACTCCCACTTGCTAATTGAGTAGGACTATGCAGAAACTACATTTTCGAATGTTCCATTCTAACCCTCCAATTCCATTCTAAGCATTTTCTAGTTCGAGAATTCTGTGATGAAACTTCCCTAGATTTCCCTGTGAGAATTAGGCCTTTGTGTAATCTAATCCTTTTTAAAGCCATCAAAACATGTGGCTGTCAACATGTTTTGGTTTGTTTCCCTGAGTAAATATGTTACGTAAAAATAATCTCACTGCTTGTCAACTTGGTTTAGTATTACAACTTTTCTCCATCTGATCTATGTACGGTTTAATAATTGTCATATTTCCAACTACTTGTATTAAGAAAAGCCCTTCCCAATATCTTTATTTTTCTCTGGTTGGTTTTCTGTTAGATGAATTCATGCATAGACATATGGATGTATTCAAGCGCTTATGCCTGAAGGAAAGGTGGAACTCTACATGGTATTCTAAAGATAGCTGTTTTGCAGATCTATATCACAGCTATTATTATTAACCTAAAACAAGTCAGCCCTTTTTCCTAGACCTACAGCAGAAAAGTGGGATAATGAAGGAAGACAAAGCATACCAATCCAGATCTGGATTTGTTTCAAGCGTATAAATGGACTTTCAAGCATATAAAGAACTGAAGATCCTGAAGGATGGTCAATTTTCAATTTTTGTTTCATTCACTGTATACTTTTTGAACTGGTGTGTTGTCTGTGAAGCACACATTTAATCCTTTTTCATAGAATTACGGGCATTTTTGTTTTCCCTCCTAGTGTAAAAATATTATTTGGTATTTATAAATCGACATAATATTGCTCCTTTACCCCTATTTGTGAACAGCTATTGGTGTTTTGTCTTTTTTACAGACTCCTCAATTTCTGGTTCATATTGTTGAAAGTCAAGATTGTGGGAAACTCTTGTCAATTTCACTTATACATGGAGGAACCAAAATTTAGTAATTAAATTGATATGCTTGTCTTCTAAGCTTGTCTCTTCTGGAAGCCTGGAGGGAGAGAGGTGGATGATAGTAATCCTTCTCAGAGGTCACTGGGGACTTGAAACTACCAGGGACTTACATAAATAAATCAAAGTGGATGCTGCCTATTTTGTATCATCATCTACTGTAATGACTGATGGCTATCCAAAATGTACAGTGCAGCCTCCAGAAATTCAAATTGCACATCCCTGCTGTAAGCCAGGTGAAATTATCCCATAGCACAATAGGTGAACTTGGTTACTGTAGCCAATGTAGTTATTGTGAGTCACTGGACCCTGTTCTCCACCGTCCAAATTAAAACAGTGGGGAAGTTTTTATTTATGATGTATTTAAAATAAGCAAAGGGATGATAATTGCAACTGTGCATTAAATGAGGTGGGATAGGATTCCTAATGATTGACATTCTTACAAACCTATATATGATTTCAGCCTGGACATTTTGTTTTTTGAGTTCCCTGTAAAATGGAGTCTAAAATAATAAGGCTGACTATATTAGACCTTTCTTTTTTTTGCTTTGTACCTTTAATGTATTAAGTGAGTGCATGTGGTGCTTTGTTGTGCTTTAATTAGGTTTGGAAAGAAATTTGTACAATCTAGGTAAACGCATGAAACAAAGCCTAATAGTTTTCTCATTTGTTCCTTATTTTGCATCACAGTTTTCCACTCAAATAGTGAGCACACCAATGTGTGCATACATTAGAGAAAATGCTTACAAAACCATGTATAATAAATCAAATTGCATATAAAAACATGTGGCTTAAAAGAAAACTATTCATCAATATGCCAATTTTCCTGCTGGAATTTTGTTAAGTAATTTGGAATTGGCTGTAGAAATTGAATGAAATAAAATTGTGGCTCTTAAGAAATGAAAATTGTAGAAAATAAAGCCATCTGACTTAGCTGTACTGAACAGATTGCATGGTATTATTAACTAGAACCATTTATATTACCTTTGGATTGTTCTTGTAAATTTTGCAAATAAGAGCAATATATTTTAAAATTACACTGGCATTAAAGTTCCAGTTCTTTGCCATGAATTTTAGATATTAAATATTTATCATAACATTTAACAATATTTATAAATGTTCTTTGTGGCTGAGAGAGACAAATTAAGAAAAGAACTGGAGTGATTAAAAGTTTTGTTTTGTATTTCTGCAATGAAAGTGAATATAAACATTCAGAAGCTAATAACTGTTCTGCCCTTGGGGACATGCATAACTTTGTTTTGGGGCCAGGTGGAATGGGGAAAAATCAATAATTTTTTTACCATAAATATTGATTATTTTAGAAATCATAAGATGATTTCTAGTGAAGTGAAGATAATGATGCTAAATTGTTTATAAAATGTATGTGAGGTGATCTGAGATGACCAAAGAACAGCAGATCCTGTTATAAATATTCATGGATTTGAGTCAGAATGTAATCCAATTTTTTTTTATTCCTATTTTTACCATCACTATTCTCCTCCCATGGAATCGGTCCTCCTATGTCAAATTAAAAATCTGTTAATGTTACGGGGATATTAAAACATCCTTAAACTTTGAAAGGCAAGAAGGCATTAGGCTCATAGACGGGATTTTTTCCACCCTTTTATGGAATCTTAACGTGCTTTTAGTTTTACCTCATTTTCTACATTAGTTTGCGGTATAGTTTCTGATATTCCTAAACCACATTGTTTCCTATTTCCTATATATTGTTTACCACAAGTGGTTTTCAAACTATAATAGTTGAAATATATTTAACGGGCTGTACACATTTTTGCTCACACTGGTGGTTTTACTTTGAAGTGGTCATTATCTCAAGGAAGAATTAACGATTAAGAACATTATAACTATTCAGGATGATTCTGTGCTGCTAATTACATAATTAAAGGCTGTTATATTAGGACTGGAAGCAGAATGGAAGAGAGAAAATTATTTGCTTTGGACTACATAAAAAACCAAAAAAATAATATATTGTATTCTTCAAGTGACTTTGCCTCAGTTATCCTATAACACTAGTTTGAAATAATCCACTCTGAAAATTTATTGTGAGTAGAGCTGATAGTTATTGTTTTGAATAAGGGCTATATTATAGAAATAATCCTTGTTTGGCAACCACAGTTGGGACTAGAAACTTGGTCATTAAGCAAAGTTTTCACTAATTGGAACATGGCTGTGCTTATGATCTTACTTCAGTTTTCCTTTGCCTGATAGACATGTGAAGGTTATAAATGTGAAGTTTGGTCATAAAGTTGCTTTTTCACCATCACTATAACTGAGAAAGGTCACTAAATGAAGCAGTCTCATGAGGTCACTAAATGAGGACTATCTGCTAATGTACAAGTCAAGCTCTTCATTTAGTTTATAATGTTAAGAAGAGGTTTTGTGCTGTGTTTGCATTTAATTATAAAGTAAAATATTTGTTGCTTTTCTTCTTTTTATACTTTTCTTTATCCATATATGATGAGAACAGGAATTTCTTTTTCTAATTTGTGGCAAGTTAGAGTTTTCATCTAAACATTCTGCTACCCTGGTGAGCAAGATACATGGAAAGAAAATATTTATGCTTATTAATATAAATTGTGTTTTGTCATTACAGTGTAGTGCATCTAGTATGTGTGAAACTTTTCCTGGCCTCTGAAAGTATGTACAATAATCAAATGAAGGATTAGACTTTAAAAATAGAATTGTGTTCTGAATAAAGACAGCAGTTTTCATTCTGCTTCTTCAAGGGATAAAGGTATTAAGCACACGAAGTAGTGAACAATTGGGTTAAATAAAAAACCACATTTCTCTTTTTCTATATTATTTTTCTTAAGTTTTATTATAAAATAAAAAAATAGAAAAAGCAGAAGTTAGGAAACTAAAAGAAGAAAGTACAAAAAGAGAGGAATAAAGCGGTGATTCCCAAATGTTTTAGTGTAGAATACAAATATACACAAAAAACAACTCCTCAACCTTTTTACATTTTAAGCCATTTCTATAACAAAATCATTCTATCCATCAAAACCTCAACTTTTTATTTCTTTCGGTTTCGAGCAAAAAATCCAGAAGGGATTTCCAAGTAGAAACAAAACAAGATAAATTCTTCTCTTTAATTAAAACACATTCACCGTCTCCATTAACTCCATTACTTTTGTCATCCACTTTTCCATTGTGGGAATTAGTGTATCTTTCCACCTTTGTGCATATAAGATCCTTGCTACTGTCAACATATATAATAACAAAGTTCCAAATTTCCTTTCAAGTTCTTTGTCTATTAGACTTAAAAGGAAAAGGACTTCTGGTTTCAATTTTGTATTTATTTTAACACTCTAAAGGCCACATTTCTCATGGATAATGATTTGGCAACTGATGCATATTCTGAAAGTGTTCCACAGCCTGCCTCTCATCTTATTGCTAATTCAGATTGAGTCGTGGTCAAGATGCAAATAGTCTTTTATGTCATTCAACAAGAAAGACTGTTCTAGCAGCCTACTAACAAAACGGTTGCTGAGTGCCATGTGCTATCTGTGGTTTTCTCAACCCAGTCAGTACTAGGTAGGAACCGTGAACATGCGATAACTGTAAAGTAGTATACTTATTTAAAGTTTAAATAAACATCAATGTATAATTTATACTGTAAGGAAACCTAATGCCAAAATTATTCTGGTTATTTAATAAAATATAGTATTCTAGGATAGGCTTGGAAAGATGTCCTCTTGATCACAACATGCCTGTATATCATAATTAGACAAACTTTCCTGATATTTTTACTCTATAGAGCTTCATACCTGCCTGATCCTTGGCTAGAAATTCTGAAAACTGTAATCTCAGCCCTTATGGATCATAGCAGTTTTGTGAAAAGTGAATGTGAACGCTGGAAAATCCATGCCATGATTGCCATTGACATGTTGAGCAGAATGTGTGCAGGAGCTAGTACGTTGGCTATTGTTGGTAGGATATACAGTATGTCACATAGTAAAATCCCCTTTTTAAATTCAACTAGGTGATTTAGTTGCAAAATGTTTCACGGCTATTTGAATCAGTCAATATATTTTAGCAGGGAAGGAAAAAAATAATCTTCCTAGTCTTTGATATCTTATTTTAAATCGTATTTAATTGCAGACAGACTAGAAAGAATAGAATAACAGAGTTGGAAGGGACCTTAGAGGTCTTCTAGTCCAACTCCCTGTTCAGGCAAGAAACCCTATATAATTTCAGACAAATGGTTGTCCAATCTCTTCTTAAAAACTTCCAGTGTTGGAGCATTCAAAATTTTTGGAGGCAAGTTGTTCCACAGATTAATTATTCTAATTGTCAGGAAATTTCTCCTTAGTTCTAGGTTGCTTCTCTCCTTGATTAGTTTCCATCCATTGTTTTTTGTCCTGCCCTCAGGTGCTTTGGAGAATAGCTTGACTCCCTCTTCTTTGGGGCAACCCCTGAGATATTGGAACACTGCTATCATGTCACCCCTAGTCCTTCTTTTCATTAAACTAGACATACCCATTATTCCAGCAACCTTTCTTTATATGTTTTAGCCCCCAGTCCCCTAATCTTTGTTGCTCTTCTAATTTGATTTAATTTTGAACAGGATTGTATGTATGCCATGCAAAGCTACATTCTTAGGTCGTGTCCTGTTGCCAGTTGCTTCCCAGTAAACTTTTTGAAATTCATAGAGCTGCAAATGTATTGAAAATGAACCTGACCCTCAGTCAACATTCTCTTCACAATAGTTGCAGGACATCTATTGCTTTGAATTACATAACTGGGCGATCTTTCTGTGGAAACCAAGGTAACTCATAACATAGCACAATAGGTACTCCTCAATTGATGACCATAATGGAGCCTGGCCATTCTGGGTGCAAGTCAAGTTAGTCACAAGTCATGTTGGTTGTAAGTCTGGTTGGTCATGTGACCACCTGATTTTGTTGTTTTCTGTGGTGGTCGTTCAGCAAACACTAGTTTTTAAGCAAACCGATGGTTCACCATGGGCGTGGTTTTGCCAAAAAGCAGAAGTAAAGGCCAGCTTTTTGCAAAGCCATCGTAAAATGCAGTCACATGACTACAAGAAGCTGCGAAAGGCTGTAAATGTGGTCCAGTTGCCAAGTGCCAACGTTTGGTCATGTCCATGGGGAGGGGGAGAATTATTGGAACTTCAAATCTGGGTCGTAAGTAGCCCCCAGGCAGGTCCATCGTAACTTTAAATGGCTGTAAGTCAACCTGAACACCTTCCATACATGTGGTCCAGAGGTGCGTTTCAGCAGGTTCTGACCAGTTCTAGAGAACCGATAGTGGAAATTTTGAGTAGTTCGGAGAACTGATAGTAAAAATTCTGACTGGCCCCGCCCCCATCTATTCTCTGCCTTCCAAGTCCCAGCTGATTGGGAGGAAATGGGGATTTTGCAGTATCTTTCCCCTGCCACGCCCACCAAGCCACACCCACAGAACCGGTAGTAAAAAACATTTGAAACCCACCACTGATGTGGGTTTAGTGTTCAGAATTCTTAGTAATGAACATGCTAGTTGGGAATTCTGGCATGGAATGCAGCCAGATTCGAAACAAATGCTCTGTTGCAGTAATAGAGTACCTCTCTTAATCCCCTCCTCTCCCCTCCCCCTTGATGTTAGATGCCTTCTCATTTTTAAAAGCAAGAACACTTCATGTTTAGGGGCTTCATTACTTTTGAGATACAAACAACAAAAAGCAGGAGGTTAGAAAGAAATAAGAACTAAGGATATTAATATAACCTTCACATTTATATTTTCATTTCACATTATTAGATGCAGGAGAAATGCATTGATCTTCAATTTGGTACACTTCAAATACATTAAGTTATAAAGAACTGAAGAAGCTTCTTGGATGAGAAGCAAAATGCTTTCAAGGAAAAAAACCCAAGAAAGCTCAGTTACCTTTTGAAAAACAAGTTTGGGACAGGCATGACCTGGATGATTGGGAATCACCATACTTTTCCAGCCATCTTGATCAATGAGCTGGCAAGTTGTGGTCCAACATGTCTAGAGAGCATAGGTTTGGCAAATGTATGAAGAGATTCTTCAGATGTTTCCCATCCTAGGTTGTTAGTGCACAGGAAGTCGCACTATTTCAGTTCAGAGGTGCTTGGTATGCCTTTTGGTGGCCTGCTCTGTGGTCCTTAGCACAAATAAATAGGTCATGCATTTGTCTTTTGTCTGAACAGTTTGATTTCTTTGGCCAACAAACAGTATAACTGAAATTAAATACTTCAGAGAATTCCAGCTTAGTTAATAATTTCATAACTAGCTGCATTGTTCTCCCTGTATCCGTCTGCTCAGATCATAAATTAGCTGTGAATGCAAGGCTTGGAGAGTTTTTCTTGCATGTGCAATTAAGTGTTATTTAACAAAGATAATGCCAATTTCCAATCGGAATGTCTTCTTGAAGTTCAGAATTAAAGGGGTGTTGAAGGAAGCTTTGCATATCATTACATTTATTACCATGGCTAATGTAGTTCTGCTCAGTCTTGCTGAAACCAACAATTCATCTGTAATCAGTCAGTATTCCCAAACCTCATTTAGCTTAAAGAACAACAGCAGTAATAAGTTTTTATGGCCACTCAGATGCTTAATACTGCTTAATCAGTGTTATCTCTGACTCCCTTCGGCAGCATGGGTGGGAAGAGGACAACAGTAAAGTGAGCAGAGATATATTGTTGCACATAATTTCATGGGATGAAACTCTAGCCCACTTATAGCCATGGTTCAAATCCCTTGGGTATTGAATGCACAGTCTGATGAAGTGCCCTGTTTCTCTCTTTTGCTTTCCCATCCTATTAAATGGTTAAAGTCTAGCCTGTAAATAAATCCTCTGCTTGGGAGAAACCACAAGCAATCTTCGTCTCTGAGCAGAAAAACTCCATAATAAAAAGTGTCTCCATGGCTCTGTTTACAGTGACTGCTTGAATCAGCAACATGTTCTGCGGTTAAGTTCTTTCTGAATTAATTTTTCTTCTCTTAGCAGTTGTTAAACCCAATCATATGCAAGCTTATTTGGAAATGATTCTTATTAGCTTCAATAGGAAAACTTGTCTGACTCTTGTATAATCCTATGCATATTTATCCAGGAATACTCTGCTGGGTTTATTTCTGTTCAGGGGATTGCAGAATTGTTCTTGTAAATCACCTTTTAATCAACCAAAAGAAGAAATATTCAAGGCAAGTCTTTCAGGTGTTCAACTTCCATCATGACAGCAAAGCAAATAATCTAGGGAAATAATAAATCCATGCAAATGGAAGGCTTTCTTTAATTGCTTGCACCAATAGCCCATTACAGAGCGAAGGCATTTGTACAGTGCTGATTTGTATAATAACCTTGTGTTTTGACAAAAGGAAGTTTCTACATGAACTTTCTTTGGGAGTTTACTTTTAGTTGTTTATTGAATTTCTACAATGCCCACGTCACCTAAGTGACTATTGACAATATACAACTCCATAATAAAACCATATAAATACAGGAATAAAAGCATAGGTTAAAAACCATTTTAAAAAGTTAAAATTTACAAGTACAATCAGGTTTCTTATTTCAGAGTTCTGTTTCCTTGCGGAACCCATTCTCATAAGCAGGAATCGTCATAGCTTATGCAGTACAATTTTGTAAAAGATAAACAGATCACTTAAAAATTATTTGGGAAATGCTGACCTGCTTGCTTATGACAACTGTTCTGTTGATGAAGAAATGGGAAGAACCCATACATATTTTTATCAGATATTTTGCTTTCCCAAGGCAAAGACTGGTGGCAGACAGGTTTACCTCTTCCAACTTTTGCCAATTTTTATAATCTGCCTGCCATATCTTGGAAAATGTACATTGTGTGGACATCAGTAAGTCGTCTTCCTTAAAGGAGTTGCTCTGGAATGTGTGCCTTTTGCGTATCAATTTTTTCCAGAATTTAACTTGGTTAGTGGAGTTTGTGTTTGATGAGCAGAAGGTGGCAGAAGGAGTCAATAATAAATATTTCTGGGTAGGGCTTTTCTGAAGCTTTGATGAGTTTTCAGTCAGTGCTGACTTCTCTGAGTGAGGGAGACCCAGCTGTGATGTGAGATGAAGTGATAAAAATGAACAACCAGTTTAAAAAGCAAGATAGTAAATAAAAATTGCAGACACGTTATTTCTGAAAGCCTTTCATACTATCTCTTGGTGATGCGATGGCTCAGTGGTTAAGACTGGGTTTGTCAGCTTTCCTCGAATTCAAGATCTGAGCATCGTGCAACAAAGTGAGCACCCATTTTCACCCAGCAGTTCAAAAGCATGAAATGCAAGTAGATAAATAGTTACCACTTTGGTGGGTAGAAACAGTGCCTCATGACATCATGCTGGCCACACGACCGTGGAAATGCCTTTGGACAGCTGTGGCTCAACAGCCTTGAAACGTAGATGAGCATACCCCCTGTAGTTGGCAACAACTATCAGAGTAAAATCTACAGGGACTCTTTCTTCCTTCCATTTATATTAATTTTTCTAAGATTTCATCCCTCAAAGATAAAAGTATTTACAAGTAAATAAGGCCTTTGTTACTGGTGCTTACTTCTAACTGTGTATTTGAGATTGGGTGGGAGGAGGGGAAGATGGAATGAATGAGACCCCCAGGGAAAATTAAATAATGTCTCTTTTTCCAATGTTCACATTAACAAAAACACTGAAAAGGTTTCAAATCTGAGTATCAATTTTCTTGATACTGTACTTTAATTACAGATACTTATCACTTAACAACTGTACTTAGCAATCGAAGTTATGACCCAGGTCCCCAGAGCTACTTTATGACCTGTTTTCAAAGTTATGATGGTCGAATTGTACACACACACACACACACACATGGTCTCATGATTGCATTTTGGCAGCCAGCTTGCATTTACTGTCACTTACAGCATCCCATGGTATTTGACCACAATTTTTGTCAGGTTTTGTCAATTTCTGGTGTTTACTTCTGGTTTCTGGCAAAAATACTCATTGTGGGAAATGGTTCACTTAACAATTGTAGCATTCATTTAACAACCTCTGTGTTCACCTAACAATTATGGTGTCCACTTGATGATGACTGCAGAAAGATTGGATGAGATGAATGAGATGAATGAATGAGATGATTTAACAATCATAATTCTGTTCTCAGTAATGGTTGTAAATTGATGACTACCTATATCCACATTTAATTTCTCTTCATATGGACAGTATTTTCTTCGCTGAAATAGTGTCATTGTGATGATGATGATGATCGATACATGAGAATTCCATAGTTTTCTCTACTCAATTTGCTTTCATGTATGAATGTAACCGGTGGCCCTATCACAGTCCTCCATAGTTGTGGAATTATGCAGGAATAGCAGTGAGTTTGAGTGATTGCTCATAAGCTTTGCATGCAGAAAACGTCAGATTTGGACCTTGATGTCAAGATATGAAATCCAGGGGAGCAACTGATGTGTAGTATGGACAGTACTAAGCTAAATGAATTTTGAGGATGATTAAGAGACTGGAAATGTAAGTCCATAAAAGAGAAATTATGGAAACTGAGAGTGTTTAGCCTTGAGGAGAATGAGAAAGGATATGATAGACTCTTAAAATTCCTGAAGGGATGTCAGGAGGAGGCCAAGAGACATTCTGTGCTGACTTAGAATTTAGGATATGACATACTGGTCTTGAATGACAAGAAGCCACATGCGGGTTAGATATTAACAAAAGCTTTCTAAAGGTAGTTCCAGATACTTCAGATACTCAGATAATAGGGAGGACATACAATTTATATCCTCTGCAGTTTACTTTAATAGTTCAATCTTCCCGTTTCCATGTGGTGAAATTTTGAGTGCTTCTAATGTAGTTTATGAAGGTCTCTGCATAGCATGTTTAGCTGGTTTGTTTCTGGTATGTTCGAGAATGGCAGAGAATAGAGGAAGTAAAATGGCAATCTCTTCTTGTTTGCTCTGTATTTCCAAATGTCCAAAGTTGCTGAGATATGTCTGTATAAGGTGGCTGTTAAACTATTAAGAGATAACATATTGTTAACTCAATAAAAGAGGGCAGTGCACTTCACAAACTGTTATCACTTACTCATACTCCTTCATTTGATAGTGAGTTTCATAGGCTTTTCTTCTTTTGTGGCATACTATGTAGAAAGTGAAAAACAAATGCAATTCAGATTTTTAAAATACTTGGAATCTGCAGATTTTTGTCTGCAAATTTTAAAAAATCATACTGCTAATTACGAATGTGACAGGTTTATATAATATGATTAGTATTGCATTTAATGAATTATCAGCAACATACCAAAAATAAATATCAGCCCAGGTTATATTTATTTTCCGTACTACTGCTTGTTTGGGAACTTTATTAAGATGTATTTAGAGTACATTATTTTCCTTTGTTTTTCTGCACATCCCTATTCAGAAATATGTTAGATTAAACCTAATGAGGGTTTGGTCTCAGATGAATGTGAAATAGTCTATTGGAAACTTTTACATCCTTGAAAAGGTCATTTTTCTTACCTTATGGAAATATAACTACAGCTCTTTGGAAAATACCATCAATGGCCTCTTGAATACTGTCCTTCCAAAGGCCCTGTGACGTGTTTGTCTGACTGTGGAAGTTTCCCAAACAAAGGCAGAGAATCTGCTGTTGGGCTCAGCATCTTCCTGCCAGCTTCTGCTACTGGCAAATTCAAGGTTCAGGAATCTTAGTCTCAAAAAGGCCTCAAAGGGTTGTGTCAGCAGAAGGGCAGCAAATCTCACTGATCTTGCTGCTCTCCATTTTTGTTCATTGGTAAACATGACTCCACCGTTTGGCTGAAACAGTCTCTCTGTCAAGTTTCAAGGTCGTCTCAAATAAATTGCACTTCAAGCTGCATTTACTCTAGTGCTGACACTCTCCTTCTTGGGGCTGCAAGAGGAGAATCCTGGGAAATGGTTTTATTAAAAATAATTTTACTAAAAGTTTCAGATAGAAAAAGAAGAAAAAGGTAGTGGAAAAAGTATAAGAAAGCAAGGGGAGGGAAGGAGGGAAGGAAGGAAGAAAAAGAAAGAAAGAAAGAGAAAAGAAGAAAGAGAAGGAAAGGAAAGGAAAAAAGGAAAGGAAAGGAAAGAAAGAAACCCCACCCTTCTTCTCCCTTCTTAGGAAAGGTTTTTGTGACCTTTTTCCTGCTTCATTTCACTTACCTGCTTACTGCTGATGTGTCCTTCAGCACTGCAGCTGTTGGTCAACTGATTGCTTTTCCAGTAGCTTACATTTTAACCTGGAGATAAAATCCAGATCTTCTGATTGTTTGTTGAAACTTAAAGAAAAGAGGCAACTCCCCAAAAGTGTGTCAAACCCATTGCTGTGACAAATTTGCTGACAGTGTTAAGCATCTACCATTAAATGACAGCCATCTGACGTTGCTTCTTTTTTTGTTCTCTTTTAGATATTTTACTTTTACTGAGAATCGGACAGAGCAACATATCTTAGAATTTCAAGATGGACTTGGCAAAAGCAAATGATAAGAAATCTCTCATTTGAACTGTTGTATGTGTATGCATGATGATCTGTGAATGTGATATATAAATAATGTAAATAATTGTGGGATAATGTTGTAAGAAAGATTGTTGATGCATAATTATCAATCAACTTCCATTCTGGCTTGGTGCACATTTTTCACAGAATAAACTCTTTGAACTTTGTACTTTTTCTGATTTAATGTTTAACAATTGCTTTTACTTAGAGCAGTGATGGCTAACCTTTTTGCCATCGTGTGCCAAAAGCGGGGGGAACGGGGGTGGGTCAAAATGTGATCAAAATTTGGGTGCTTGGCAAACATTATGTATGGATGATGGTTGCAATATCCTGGGATCATGTCATCGTCATTTTTGACCTGCTCAGTTGGTTTCGAATGAGCAAAGTCAACGGGGAAGCTGGATTTTCTTAATGACTGCATAATTAACAACTGCAGTAATTCATTTAAGAGTCATGGCAAAAAGGTTATAAACTTGCGTGCGACTCACCTTACTTAGCAATGGAAATACTGATTGTAATTGTGCTCATAAATTGAGGATTACTTGTAATTAAAGACTGCTTTTATCATTCAGGATTTTTCAACCATTGAGAATGTTCAGTTCTTTTTGGATTGTTTTTCAGTGATCTGTGTCCAAACTTTGTTTATTCTCTACTATATTTCATTCAAGTCTTTCATACTTTGAAAATAGCCTGTCAAAGATAAGTTGCTGTGATCTTTGTGATAATAGTAATCAAAACTGTGACCAGAAGAACACCAATAGCAAGAGAAGACAATGTACATAAACATAACCATGCACACTTTACATTTGTGAAAAATATGACAGGATGACAGCATATTTAAGGGTCTAGTGAACAGCATTTTGAAGGTGTGTATAGAGAGGAATTCCGTGGCTATCCTGAAAAGGCATTGTTAGAAAGATAGATATAAATCTACAAACTATACCCCTGAACTAGGTTTCTAGTTAAGGTAAGTAACTATACACTTGATGAGATTTGCTTCAGAGCAGTTGGGAACGTATGACCGGATTACACTTCCGACTATCACTTACCATTGGACACGTTGGTCTAGTTCTACCAGGTAGGCAGGATGGGGAAAGGTAATTGTTAACAGCTTGCATTCCATATTTTCTTCTACTTTTTAAGATACAAACTTCCAAAGGTGGTCAACATGTATACTTTGTGGTTTTCATCTACAGTCTTAGTTATAGGTGAATTAAAGAAATATACTAGAAGTTGTGATCTCTCACACGCCATGATTATTGTTAAACATGTATTTAGAGCAAAAATTTTAGCTCTTTGTTAGATCCTGCTATTACGAAGTACGCTTAACTTGTTGCTGTGTGATTGTACAAGTTGCATTTCCTTGTAATAGCCCTAGCTCTTGGGCTGGGCGGATCCCAACTTTAAATTATCTGGTGATGAAATAATCTATTCATTTTATGCTCGTGTGAGTCATTTGGTTAGTAAATGAGGCCTTGAGTAGAGAGATTTTGCTTCTGTCAAGTGGGATCAAGATGCAGTCACATCTTGTCTGTTCAGGTCTCCATTTGCAGATAACGATCCATGAACAGCAATACAAAATACATTTGTAAAAAAATGCTGCAGCTCATCTGAACTTTCCTCTGTTGCAGTCTAGGGGCCCCACCCTCAAACCACATAACTTGAAACTCTAAAGTTAATCTAGTTACTTTTGCAATAAAGAATTGGAAATATATGGCCTGGAGCACAGGTTTTTTTTTTTTTAAATCCAGTATCATAAAAGGATTTATGCCTTGTTTGAGCTCAGCTCCTACAGCAATGTCTTATAAGTCATTTCCGGAAATATGAATAATGGAGATGACATATTGTTAATTGTCTCGGTAGCCAACAGATTTTTATGAATTCCAAAATAGGCCACTGAACAACTGGGAGGCATCGTCTTGATTTAGAGACCTTCAACGTTTGCAAAAATACAGCAATGAAAAATGACTATTGTAAGAGTAACCATAATCCCATCTCATTCCATGCCAGTCAGAAAAACAGCCAGAAGAAAATTAAGATGAACATTATAAAATGCTGGCTAGAATTACAGAATGAATGGATAAAAATACAAGTAGTTCTTGTATTTTTGTCAGCCATTATTGGTACATGATCCTGGTTTTAATTTTTGATTATGGATGCGAATGGTGCTCAGAGTCACTTTAACTGGACCAATCTGTAAAGTTTATAAGTAAGTAATAAACATAGGTAAAGGTAAAGGTTCCCCTCGCACATAGGTGCTAGTCGTTCCCGATTCTAGAGGGCGGTGCTTAGCTCCGTTTCAAAGCCGAAGAGCCAGCGCTGTCCGAAGACGTCTCTGTGGTCATGTGGCCAGCATGACTAAACACCAAAGGCGCACAGAACACTGTTACCTTCCCACCAAAAGTGGTCCCTGTTTTTCTATTTGCATTGTTTACGTGCTTTTGAATTGCTAGGTTGCCAGAAGCTGGGACAAGTAACAGGAGCTCACCCCATTACGCGACACTAGGGATTCGAACTGCTGAGCTGCTGACCTTTCGATCAACAAGGTCAGTGTCTTAGCCACTGAGCCACCGCATCCCTAAATAAACATACCTTATTAAATATTCTTTTTTTATCAAATATATACAGCCACCCATCTCGTGTGAAGTGACTGGTGAACTGCAACAATAATAGTCATAATTTTTTCCAAGTTCATTTGTTTGTATCACATTAAGTGTGACAGTTTCTGCTTGCTGATCATTGCCTTAAGGGAGCAGTTAATCTTGATACAGCCAAGAGCTGCTTTGTTACTCTTTTTGCATTCCATAGTGTTTGTAATAATTATCTCCAAATCCATAATTGAAAGACATCATTCTTTGGCTCTTTGTCAGTGTCCACCTTTTACAACCATATGATTAAAAAAGCTATTCTGATATTTGTTGAAAATATCAGTTTATTATTGCCTTCCTTCCTAGGTTTAATCTCTCTAGAAAACTGCCCATCTTTATTTGCTGAAAAAAAATAAAACTTCCTGCTAATGTCAGAGACCTCATATGGTCAATGAAACAAAAATAAAGTTCCTTCATGTATTCTCTCGTCTCTTTGTTATCCCATCTTACATTAAATACCCAATCCTATGTATCTGTCTTTTCTAGAATCTTCCCATTAATTGACACTCCTCTTATGATGATGGTTTATGCATGACAAATTAACCATATTAATTTTGTTGGATTAGGAATTAGTGTAACAGTTCAATAATTTGTACATTTTCTTGCATCTATTGCAGTCAATGCAGGCACAATCTTTTGAAACCCCCAGGCCATATTGCTAATATTTTTCAGAATTTTAACTGTCTCTTCCTGCTGCAGCTTTAAAACATTTCACTGTGGGCATTTCATCTGTGTATGATGTTTTCCTAGTTAATTGCTTGTCTGTTGCTTCTTGCAGCTCATGCTGTAGAAGAATCCATTTCTGAGTAATCATTTCTGAGTGCAAATCTGCTTTTTACACACAAACAAACCCCATTTGTACGGAGTTTTAGCTAGCTTTTCCATTTTCTTCTAACGTCACTTGTCTATATCTTACCTCTCCTAATTCTTCTTTAAGTATGATTATTTTACAGTAATTGTAAATTTTCTTGTGATTTTTCTGATCTTTAAACCATTGGAGTTTTCTTACTCCCCCCCCCTTTTTTTTTACATCTTTGAGATACCAATCCTTCTTTGCCATTGACAACAATTGTATTCTGTCACCATGTGCACCTACAGTACAAAGCTTTCATCTTCCATCTTGCCCTCCTCCTTCCTAGTGTTATTCCTGCGCTCTGGCAGGATCCACTTATCCTCTTACCATCTTTCCCTGACTATCCTAATAACTTGTTCTGAAAGCCACTTGGATCTTTTCCTCTTTGAAATTTTGAGATTTGGTTTTCTGCTTTGATTTTCATAATGTCTCTTATTACTCAACGTAAAAGGCAAACTTCTCAGTTTCCCTTTTGCATTAGCCTAAGCACCCTAAATCTGTTCCCTACATTGATTTTATATTCTCGCTGTTCTGGTTGTATTTTGTTGGCAAACTCACTCTCTTCAATTTTCTAATGTTTCACAAACTACTCTGGATTGTAATTCTCCATTTCGTTTATGTAGTTGACTTGATTCCAGGGTTGAGTATCTAGTGATGCTTGATTTAATCAGATGCTAGCAATAAACAAATAATCATTAGGAATGTAATTTGTTTTTTTTATATTTACTCAATTCAAAGAGCAAAAGCATAATTAATTCCAGAATGTTCTTTTCTCTTTTGGGCTGCAGTTATTTTTTAGGGGGTATTATGCCCTTTTTTCTTGTTACAGATTTCTGTGGTTTTTTTCCACCGAAGTATCATCCAACCAAGATTTTTCATTGTTAAATGTCAAGGTGATGTAATTTCTATAGGGGTTTGTCATTGCCTTCTTTCCAAGTTTGATTTTGGAGTGCCTTTTCCTATATGGGCTGGCTTCTCTTAACAGTTGCAAAGCCCTGCCTGCTCTCACCTCATTGTAGATTAATCTTAACTTCCTTTTTGAAGGCAAAGCTTGTCCTGCTGGAGTTCACATTCTCACCAACATCACTCAAGATCATTGGGGCTACTTAGTTCTCTCATTACATCAGGGTAATGTGAGGAAGGGAGTCGGATTATAATATCCTCATAAAGCATAATAAGTGGTCAATAGGCTGTAGATAACTCCTTTAAGAGAGAGGCATACATATTTTCACCGTCCTGTTTAAGACACTTGTGACTATGCTGTTCGTTCCAAGATGCTGGCATAATGCAATATTCTAGGTGAGCCCACCTAATTTTGCAGAGTCAAGTGCCTATAATTAAGCATGCTATCATACTTTTGACATTTGGGGCATTCAAAATTGACCAGCTGTTCTCAGTCAGACATTCTCCAAATGATTTTGGACCACCTTTGACCATTTTGGCTAAATTCTTAGAAGTGAAGTCTCAGCACATCCAGAGAATGTTGGATTGTGGAGGGCTGTACTAGATGAAGGTGGCATAACGTTCAGTCCTAATGGGAAAAGCTGATGCAACTATTACCTGATTCAGTTTTTGAGAAGAAGCATTGGTATGCATGAATATATACTCTGGAATTCTCATGAAACCACCATTATAACCGTTCCCTACAAGTAAAAAATATTCAAGTAAGAT